CTGCGAGCGATGTTCGCCGAGGCAGACACCGAGTGGAAGAAAGCCAAGGGTGATCAAGCTAAGACCTGGCACGAGGGTATGAAAACCCTAACCAAGAGTCTGAGTCACATAGGGCCCGTTAGGCACCCTGGCTGGGAACCTCGGGATCTTGGTCACAGATGGTTAGAGACACTGAGTGATATGATTGGGTGTCGTAAACAGTGGCGTTCGTGCGTCTGCTCAATTTCTCTGTATCACTAGTCCACTGAACGTTTCAATTTTCTCTTCGATCCTACTTTCAACCATTGTTATCTTACTCCTATTGTTCATCCAAATGGCCTGACGAAAGATAGCACTGGAAAGCGGTGCACGATAGTGCATGGTTAACAATTGTACAAACTGAAACTGGTCTCGCTTCTTAATTTTCCTTTTCTTTTTATTTTTTTTTTCAGACTACAAAATACAACTTAACGAAACAGTAGAATACCATTTGACCGAGGCTTAACGTATTTAACACACACGGATATGAAGAATTGTTGTAACATAAAATAAATATTGAGAATAAATCACTCGATCTGGGTATTACCATCCTTGAAAATTACCGTTGTTCGTTTCTTTTTTGTTTGTTCCATGCCAGCCTTGCATTTAGCCATTCGTACTGGTCACGTCGCGTGTCTCACGGTCTTATTAGCCCAACCGGCCACGGACTCGTGTCTCATGAATGTACGGTAAGTTGTCAGAACCGGGCGTTTCAATTTGTCACTTGGATTGTTGCTCTCGCTATGCCTTATTTGCTAGCTGGATTCCATTGTTGAGTGAGATACACGTGTTTAACACCAGTCACTTCTGTTGAACATGGAATCACATATTCCCTTATCCTTACGCGGTTGATTTCGTGCGATTTTGCGCGATTGAAATGAGTTCAGAATGAAAATCCGTTTTCTGACGAGGAATTTCTCGCTCGTTTGATTTGTCAATAGAATCCGTCCTTATAGTCCAAAAAGCCGTTCACGGTCTGGTGATACCCCATCTTTTTTCGGAAATACTGTATGTCCGGTTAAACCAGTCTGTCTCCCCAAATCAAACTAATGTGATAACTCGAGTTCTCGCTTCACGTTCAGCTTTGCCATCCAATCTAACGGGATTTTCGATGATGCCAGAAGTATTTGATCTGTTCTGGTTCCATTTTTTTCACTTTATTCTCCTTTCCAACAAGATCCACTCATCCAGAATTTTCAATAGATTTGACTATCTAATCAAGCCGGTCGTTTCCCTAATTAGCTTTTTCCTGGTCTATACTATACTTAGGCGGATCACCGCCAGTTTTTTTAACCATGGAGCTTGTCCAGAATAAGGACCAAGTCATAATCTGAAATATTGGTTTTGGCCATTTTATTCCACTAGTAATATCGTACGGCACACCAATCAGGAATCGTTGAGAGCGTTCCCTTCACACTTATAGCCATTGGTTTTGCTCAAGTTAAAGATGGACTATAGGCAACCGCTGCCCACTTGGATGAACAATAGGAGTAAGACAACAATGGTTGAAAGTAGGATCGAAGAGAAAATTGAAACGTTCAGTGGACTAGTGATACAGAGAAATTGAGCAGATGCACGAACGCCACTGTTTACGACACCCAGTCATATCACTCAGTGTCTCTAACCATTTGTGACCAAGATCCCGAGGTCCCCAGCCAGGGTGCCTAACGGGCCCTATGTGACTCAGACTCTTGGTTAGGGTTTTCATAC